TGCAAAACTCGCAATGCATACAAGGTTAGTGGTAACATGTAAGGTGGACAGGGATTGGACCTATTTTGAGGAAGGGAGAAGAAATTGAAGCTAGATTTTCAGCACACAGAGCACTCAATCTAAGTGTGCATACATACTGTTTCAAGCTTTCTGTTCTGATAAGAAGTGACAACAAGAACGCCACTCCTGTCGGTTTCTTACCATATGCTTCAATGTATCCGATCAACCAGTTGTAAAGCCTTTCGGGAACAAACCTGGAAGGTGCGGGACACCTGCTCTACCTAATCGCTCTATGCAGTTCTTCATCCCTCGTCATCTGCTGACCTACACGTGGTTTCCGCGAACCCAGAGTAGCTACAGCGAATGAAGCGCGGTGCGGCAGACGACAGCTGGACATACGCAATGCGGGCCCTACCCAGCGATGCTACTAATCTGATTTCGCTGAGCTAACAAGTTTATCCTTGAGAAACTCCCAAACACACGACGGCTTACTCGCAGATTACTAACCCATTCGATCCGTCCCACATGGACTAAACTATGTAGACACCGATAATCGAAAACTTCTAGTCAATGGATAGCTTTTAGTCCCAAATTCAAAGTGTCATAACTATAATTGAATGAAAGATATCACAATGAAAAATATGCAATAAAATAGTAATATTATTATTCTGAATAATCAAAGGATTTCTTTGTCTGCGTGTATTGGAATTCTAAGTGACCATTTCGTTATAACCGTTTTATTAGAACCGAATGTAGTTGTCACGTATATTTATGAAAACATCACTAAAAGATTCCATCAATGATGATTTATGATTAAACTATTGATTTTCGAAAGTGCCTGATAGATGAACAAGAGTTTAACCCATGGAAGCTAACAAAAAAATCGGCAGTGTTCGATCATTGGATTATTACCCACAAACAAACAGAGAAGACTGTTGCGAGTTCACTGATTGTTCCACATACACCTCCTCCCCACCGCCCGGTTGAATATAACTTATAGCCGTATGCATAATGAGGACGTTGAAATACAGTTGTTTGGAGATATGCACATGCAAAGCACGATTGAATCAGACCACGGAATCTCACTCGACCGGATCACTTGAGTACAATGACAGACTGATTTATGTGTACTCGAGGCGTGTACAGTCGCACAGAGCCAGTCTATTCTGAATACGACTAACGATTTGGTTACCCACACTGTCATTGAATGTAACGCACCTGTGCACCAATATGCATGATCTACCGATACAGACAGGCTGCTTGAATTGCCGGAGTATTTTTCCTTTCACTGATTCACATTTACCGATTTCATGGGCACAGAAATCTTTCTGACACCGGTCTGAAATAAGCTTGTTTGTTTTCAACCAAATTATCTGTTGACAATCGCTGGGCCACAGGCGGAAAGTGCTATCATTCGTAATACGCGGACCCCGGCGGGCATACTGGTCGCTAGTTGTGCCAAGTTTCCGTTCAAGAAATACGGATTACAATCACAGCACTTCGGACCAACTGGAACAGAAAAGAAAATGGATAATTTTGCTCCAACTATACACATGTATGTACACTCCCAGACCGATAGATGTTCAGGGTTGAGTGAAGGGGAAATATTGCTCACAGAATCTTTAACATTCCAAAGAAAACTTATGCGGTCAATATTCGTATAATAGAGGAACCACTAATGGGTATCAGTGAACGCCTGATTTGGGCCATCAGGCAAGAAAAATAAAATCCTTTCGCACGGACTAACTTCAACCGGGCAAGAAACCGAAACTCGGATTTTTAACTATTCTTTTAAGTGAACGAAGTGAAACTCCCGTTGGAAGACCAAGTTCATTAGCAGCAAAAATCCGACCTGTGACATTTTGGTTTTATTTATTTTTTGGATCTCGTATATTTTCGAACTTTTGGTACAAACAGGTCGATAAAAAAATGTGACTCTCGGTTTTAAATTAACTTTTAATTTGGAATTCCGCTTGAGGTATCTTGTTTGAGCTATGTCTCACAAATACTGTTCCAGTTTCAATTCGGAAATCGCTCTAACGCTAACAAGTTTTGCAAATAGTGATGCTATTTTTAACTGGCATATCACAACTGGGTATATCACAAATAGCCTAACGAGTGCTTTTAACAAAGGATACTGATCGGCTGAGGATACAACCTGGAAAGCCTATGAAGAGGAAAACAAAAGTGCCCCAAGTAAAATTTATCCTGAAATTTGTACCCTATTTGTCATACAATTTAATCTTAACAACTAAATAGAATGCGGTGCCGGTTGTTGTTTTGTATCCCGCGAAACCACGAGGAAGTGAACTTATCTCCACTTGTGAAAATGATTGATGGATGAGAGAGAGAGCGAGTAAGGGAGAAGATAATGCCCGCGAGCGAATTAAGGGTCTTTTTGTCGAGACCGAATCACTCACTAAACGATCATCCCATGATCTGATTGAGAAACGGACAATCATTAGGATTGTTCCCAAGGGAACGGCTCACCAGTGAGGAGAGCCGTGTTGGAAAAGATTAAGTCAAGTATATCGGTGCCCTACTCCCGTCTCAACTGGACAAATCAGTTTACTCATCTAAATTTCATTGCTAAGAATTCGTGGGATGACTTTGGGGAAAGGTGAGGCAGATCCGGTCCTCCATTCGGCATAACCGTGACTCTATTGAGTTGTTGTTTTCTCGACCAAATAACGGAACGCTCGGTACAGAAAGCCAAAGAAATTCACCTTATCGCACCTGAGACTAACTATACATATACAGGGAGGTATAGATCAGACCTTCTGAATACAGATCAATTTGTAAAATAGACAGTGATAAGCAAGGGGAGCAGGCGAGTTTCCGAAAGTGAGAAAGGGATAATGGTAGAACAAAAAAATAGACGATGGGCAAAAGTTCAATTACATGTTTCACATGTCCCCGCTTTTCGACCTTATACTCGTTTCATTCTTCTACTTCTTGTGCATTGATTACATCGTAGTATGAGCCATTTTGGATTGGGGAGGGAACGGCCTACCTAAGGGGCTTTCGAGGAGACAAAGAGAAGCGGAAACTTTAACTACGGAGCTGCGAGTCGAACTTCTGAGGAGATGTGCTGGTGACCATTAGCGACTGTATGCCATCAATCAATGCGTGAACTGAAATATATTCAACAAGTCCAATGTCTTATCTATTTTGTATTATTTATGTGATGAGCTTGTGTTCCATCCAATGTTTCAAGCACTTTTATCGGTTTCGGAAAGATGTCAGTTTCCACCAATGATATCCATGTTTGTGTTTTCAAAAATTATCACTCGGTGGTCCGTCATCCAACTACGAATCGAAATGATTAAACAGAAAAGTCTTCTGTGAGCTAGGCTGTAGTGACTCCATGAAAATAAGCTTGTATTCAGTTTCTGTTGGAGACAATTTGTCCTAGTCAGTGACTGGATCTCGACCATGGTGACTTCTCATTATTCATGGACTTCAGCGCCTTATATCTATTCCAGTAATGTGCCCAATTTTCTTTCCTTCTTTCAGATAAAACGCGCCTCTAGGCAGGTATGTGTTCCAAATAAAGTTGAATTTTACATCAATCCTCAAATAGCATTAATTTGGGAGATGACTGATGACTACAAAAGCAATGAAACTTCTGAAAGATGCCGATAAACTGAATGTTATCCATAGCCCATTCAATCTAAGACCCCCGTTCATTTTATTCAAATATTAACTAAAATTTCTATTATTTCTGCTGCAACATATTTAAACAGACGGTTCTCATTAGGTTCTTCGTTCATTATTGGTTACTAGAATTTTAAGTTATTTTATTAAACCTTTTTATTGCGTACTAAGAGAAAGTGCAATCACAAACAATTCCTGTTCTCAATCAATCTGATTCGCTGCAGGCGACATTGGTAATAGGACTTGGCTTTTAAGTTCTAGTCATTCTATTCTCATTTGTGTGTATCTACTAACGGCATTTTTTTCTGAGTAAATGAATCCTGTTCGATGTTTGACTAGGACGAAATGGGGTCAAGCATCTTTTTGCTCCGACTGATTCGTATCGTCATGTAACGGGGCAGAAATCTTGACGTGCCGCTGCATGATACTGCTGCACTTTTCCCACCCGTACCGCGTCGTGGCTGAACCGGACAGTGTGTGGGGGGAGGGGGGAGACCAGCTCCATCAACTCTGGTCAATCAGATAAACCAAGGAAGCAAATACCGGTCAGTTTGACTAGCGGCGCCGTAGAGCGATCGGTTTGCCTGTTACAGTCTACACGAGTAATGACAATTTAGCCACGCGGTTGAACTGTAGATGAGTATGACAGAAAAGGTACTCAGAACGGTTGTGCGGGTTCTTTCAATGCTTAATCCACTCATTAATTGAGTATATTTATTATTTGTAATCAGCCTTATTGATGCACTACTGAGATCCCATTGGACAACAACAACAATAAAAATACTAACAAATTTAACAATCGATTACCGTAAGCCATCGATATCTGTCTCAAAACCTAAAGCAACAGTGGTTATTTTTTTTTTCAGTCAAACAGAAAGAAAGCTGTCAATCGATGCGCTACAGATAGGTAGATCAAACTGATAACTTGATAAGAAACCTTTCTGGTTGTGTTTGGATGTGATTCACACGATCGGTAACGCGCTTGGTGTTTCTTTAAACATCGAGTCTATCGAACCGAATGTGTGGAACAGGGTTCTTCCCGAAAGCACCACGGCTGTACCACAGAATGCTGTGTTCCCGTAATGTGACACGACTAATCCGACACTGTGTTTAGCTCACATCAAACTAGCATCTGGCTTAGGCAGTTATGCTTTTCCCCAAAAACTAACAGATTTTATTGGTTTGTCCAGTTTGTCCAGTTTCACCAAAAGAACGCATCAGCTGAGAGAGCAGTGAATAACTGGGGAAAAGGGCACCATAGGACAAACACATTCCGCGACAATTTTTAATCTTTTTGAATGTTCTTAGTGAGAAATGCCCAACTACCCGGACAGATAACTCACATCGTACTGAGCCGATTTGCATGCCTCAAATTTTGTATCCAAAGCCAAATCCGTTTGGTCTTGATGGGAATCTGTAATCAGAATAAACGATAGCATCGGTGTTTGACATTGATGCATGTTTGTGTGTGTGTCTGTTTACGGTGAACAATTAATGAATGCACAGGACCTTAATACATTTTCTTTTACACAGTAACTACTGCTGTACACAGTCCAACATTCACTCCCTCTCCTAGCTGGTGGTGAACACATCAATAAATTTCTAAACGAGCTAGATTTAATCAATGCCACAAAACTTGTTTTATATGTTCTAAACATCAGTGATTTGGAATGTTTGAATTTTGGGAGAATTCAAAGTATACATTTAATTAGGATATCGTTGTAAAGCTATGGATATCGAAAATAAACTCATATGACAACGGAGCACATGAGCAAACTGTTGTTTTCACAAATGACTTGGCAATATCAAGTAGACTGTGAGAGACAGTGATCCTTTTGGAAATGAACTGTGCCATATCACGAAGGCACATTCAGAGGGAAACGCTCACAAATATTACAATCTACATATTTAGGTCTACTTGGAACATAGGGGTGATTTCAAAATCTAATGAGATCAGTAAGTATGATTGAAGAAAATGTTCATCTAGTGTGAGCGAAATCCCGTGAGGGGCCTTTTGCGTATATGTTTCTTTTCTATTTGTCTATGTATTTCTAGACCGGTTTTCATGAACATCGCACAGTTAGCGAACGATCACCGGACGTATCTGTAGGATCGTGGTGCTGATGATGTTGATAACGATGATGCTGGTGTTACGGAAACACAAAACGCTGCCGTGCTCAACAGAAAAAATAGGCACGTTACCCATTCGTTTTAACGGTCAAATTTAGCACTCTCTAACCTCACTGGGCTTAGATTCGAGTGAGCGTAGGTACCGTTTGCGCATGCGTGCGCTTGCGTGCGTCCCTGTGTGTGCGTTTCACTCAGCAAAGCTATCGCACGAATGCGACTGCGCTTCTTGGCTCCACATCAAGAATGTGTACAATTTGCCATGTAGTTCACGCATAATTTATAATGCTGATTGCGTCATTCGAATAGTTTGCTTGCCCCGTTTGATTTTAATGCAGTACGGAGACACTCGTGATATTTAGAGGTACATTGCCATATCAGAGGGGACACAAGTATATTTTTACGGCTCGATATTGCTTGCAAAACGGTAGGAACCGGCTCTTCAACAAGTTCCTGCAGAGCACACGTGTGTTCTTGAAACGTGATTGATGAAAGGAGAAAAGGTTGTTCTTTTAAAAATGCATAAGCTTTTTAATTCCATTTATCTCAAACACAACATTTGTGTATTCCTTTTCCAGATCCTGATCAATCGAAACTGTTTCCGGAAAGTGAGAAAGTGTGGTGACGATGTTGGCGGAAGCGCAGTTTCGAACGTATGAAAAATTAGACAATTGGTTAATCGCTCACTCCGCTCGAAGTTATTCCATCTCTTTGAAGGCGGTTTCATTTCTCGGGAGTTCATTGGTGCACCACCTATTAAAAACTTTTCATTTTCTATCTACTCATGTTGATGACTGACAAAGGGTACAGGCCAATAATTTGGGCCATGCAAGGACTCTTCATAAGTGCGTGTTTTTTGTGTCCAAGCCTGATCTAAACGGTGGATGGTCAACACCTCCATCAAATAATTTGAGTGATACTGAATGTTCATGCAAATTGGATGGAGGAATTAACGTACTCCCAGGGAGCGCAATCTTCACCAAAGAAGTTAAATACAGAGTGGTACCGGTACAAACTGAACGAGCTATCCCAAAAATAGCATTAAAAATATTCTAAACAGTCTTCGCTAAACGTCACTGAATACTCGGATCATTGTAATTTTTCAAAAATCTCCCGTATTCATTCATAAAATCACTGAAACGAAGGATTCTTTTCGATTGTTCGTTCGCATAACCTTCTTAGCCACCATGTAATCCTATGTTATTACAGAAGCTCGAAAATGAATAATCAAAAAGAATTCTTCGCTTCGATGATCTTTACAATTCTATACTCTAAAGACGAGTAATTTTGGCACAACAACTAACTTTGCACCAGTTCGACGATTCACAAGTGAACTCACGCATCACGAAAGAACTGCTCAACTAATCACTTCGGTGGATGTGAACTAGATCCTTGTACGTAGAAACCACCAAATAGTGGCTAATTATGCTCAGTCGAGCAGAAAGAAATACAGTTGTCAAGTCTATTACAATTCCAGACGATATTTTTGACTTCATTTCCAATTGCAGTGATATTCCTACCGGCGATAAACAATGTGCAATTAGACCGCGGTTTCCCCCTGTGATGAAACCGTTATCGTAGTTTCTGTGGGTTTTGAATCACAGGAAAAAAAGACTTGAAAAAAATCACCAATTGTGAACAAACACAGAAGTAAACACGTGAGACATTAAACGTTTGAATGCAATACAACATAACAATAGTGTGGACGAACAAGCTCTTATTCAATTATTCGTAATCATGCCATTACATAACATATATATGACTAACACTGACATGATTACGAATAACTGAAAACCAGCATGTTCGCCACACTGTTGTTGTTCTCATTGAGATGAATTCCAATTAGAGCTGTGCCCGTGTCGCACAACCAGTGATTTTGAACAGATTCGCAAAACGGATTAAGGGTGCAACGGACTGAAACCAGGAATTTGACTCATCACGGTTGAATGATTTTTTCAAAATGAGAAGTAAGCTGAACGGTGTTTGCTGTTGCACAAAAAAGGTAAATACGATCAAAATTACGGCATCATATCGCAAATTAGAACCAGTGTTCTCTAATAAATTGCATCTCATACTCGCGCACAGTGTTATGATTAAAACAAGCGGTGACTGGTCGGGGAAAGTTATTTATTGTAAATTACAGTTGAAATATCACTGATTTGGCACACATATAACAGAAAACTTATTTGAAGCATGCCATCGCTTTTCCCGGAAGCACATCAGATAATGACTGAAGCAGTCCGTATTTATTCTTTGAGGCAAAGCAATTCGCCCTCAGTAGTCTTACAAATTTTTGATCGTTAAAGAATACCGCCAACCGAAATATTTTGCATACTACTCACAAATGTGAGTAGTACCTCGCAACAATTGTATCATTAGATCCTTCAAACAATGTTTGGATTAGCCTCCAAGACAAGCATAAACAAAGCTAAATGTTACCACGCTGTAACACCTCACCCAACCCTCTGATCTCCCCTAGTTGGTGACGTCACTATTCTTTCATTGACTGGTTGTGCATTTGCCATAATCCTAATTCGCGCGCGCTCAAACAGAATTATTTCCCAATCACAAGTCCTCACGGCTTGTTTGTAGGGTGATTTCAGGAGCAACCATTTGAATTGATGTCGAAACGTCGCGGCGTTAAAGATTTTAGGTTTTTAATTCTTCCTCATCGCATTTTGTTCAGATTTATTAGCAAAATTAACTAGCAGGTTATTTCATATTGCATTCCAGTTTCTCATATTTATGTCACGGAGTTCATCCTCCTGTTTAGCATATTCTTCCGATTTATGTGCGCTTTTTCTTCAGGGGAAAAGGATACAGAAGATCTGTAGTGACTGGCAGATATGTTTGCGAAATCAAACCCATCTTACTGCTCGTATAACACCCTACCCGCCATACCACATCGGTTTTCATTGATGGAGCAATTGTAATCGACGGGTTCGGCTGCACGAATAAATCAGAGGAGTCGGCACTTTGTGCCTGTCTACAGGGATGAACCCATTTCGACCTGTTATCGTAACGCAATCTCACTCAACATATACTGAGACCCCGGGAAATACGCTTACTAGCTGCGGGTCACTGGTGTTACCATCCGAATAAAATAAGCTGCTNGACCTTAGTCAGTCCGTAATTACCCCACAACCTAATCGGTTTTTGGGTGTGAGATGGATGAGATGGGCTCATAGACAAGCTCGTGGAGGGGCTTTATCAACGTTTATCTTTCTGATGGTGGGTCAGATATATCTCACCTGTAAGTCAACGGTTAAAAATTGTGTTTGTGTGCCAAATGCATCTTGATAGACCCACGCTATGAAGTCATGAATGGGAAACAAATGCTATGCTTGAGTGATTTTTGTAGGAGTGGTGTGAAGGTGGGATAGTATAGGTCACTCCCATCTTGACCAGTATGTCATTTTTGGTTGATTGGTCATACAGGCGATCGCCCAGGTCAAGCAGTGGCCTGAAAATAGCGCTGAATACGCAGCGAAAGAATTGCTAGAGAGAAAGAGTTTTACGAGGCCATCGGTGAATGTTTTTCCTTAAAGACCGAAAGTAATCCTTTATCACTGTATGGTCGATTCACTTTTTCCTCTGGTAGAATAGATGTTAGTCGATGGCCTTCTGTAATTCAACACCGACATCGAGATCAACGTTTCTAACTTCAATTAGAAATCGTTTCCTGAAAACTGAGGAGAATAAATAAAATGCTTATACTTGATTACATTTCGTGGTCTACAGTTGAATTAAGATGGAGGCTACGTAATCAGTGGTTAACATCGTTTGAAGATGTTCTGTTCGGTGTATGGAATGACTTTTTCTGTGTTAATTCCATCCCGTCCCAGTAATAAATTCAAAAGCGTAAACTTCACTGTGTGGTAATTAATCTAATCAAATGAGAGATCGGAAACAATCCGAAAACTTTGCTGCACATAGTTCACTTACTTTCATCGAGCCATGGCTCAGCGCTCATTCGACCGGTCAAATTTGGTTTGGGTGACATGGTCTCTTTCGCGTACGACGATGGCACATCCGCATTGGACCCGTTTGATCGACCCATAAACCACGTGCGTGCCCCACGTCTGTGAACGAGGCAAGCGACCAGCACGATAGTCGCTAGCAGGAGTACACTGAACACCACCACCAGACAAATAATGACCAACTCGTTTCGACGTCCAGCCTGCATGGTGGGATTCACACGTTGTACAGCCACTGCGTCCAGATCGAACGACAGTTCCGAATTGCTCCCGACCCCAACGGATCGAGCCTGATAGAGTGCCGAGTCCATGCTCGGATTGTCCTGATCGCTGACTGTGATTCGGATACTGGGCGAGAGAGTGCATCGTCGAGCCGCACCGCTCCCGTTGTCGCATGCC